AGAGAAGGTGTGGGAGGGGGCTCAAGGTAGGAGGTTGGGGTGGAGGGTAATAGCAGGAGTTAGAGTTCGGGATGGGGCTAAGGGCAACAAGTGGAAGTGCAGGGTCTGAACAGGAGTTAGGGTGCAGGAGTTAGGGTACAGCTCAGATCTGGGATGGGAGTTGAGGTGCTTACCTGGGGCAGCTCCCATTTGGCGGCACAGGCCCTGGGAAGGGGAGGTGGCAGGTGGCTCTGTGCGCTGCCCTGTGCTCACACCGTGATTCCCAGCCAGTGGGAGCTGTGAGGGCAGAGCATGCAGGCAAGGTTAGTGTGCTGACAGAGCTTTCTGGTACTTGTAGCTCCAACTCAGTGAGCAGGGAGGGGAAAGGCAGTGAATGGAGTCTCGTGTAACCACTGTTTTTTCTTTGAATGATTGCTCGTGTTCATTCCACTTTGTCTGTGTGTGTTCACCATGTGCACCAGTGCTGAAAGTTTTTCTCTCAGCAGCATCCATAGCAGAGAGGCTCTGGCAACCCTTGGAAAGGCACCATCATGGTGCAGTATAAAGGGTGCTGTGCACTCTGCCCACCCTCAGTTTCTTCTTGCTGCCAGTAATGGTTCATCAGAACTACTGGCTTTGACTATTCATTGCTTGCTTTCCTTGGTTTAGCATCTCTTGTGGATAATTGTTCAATAATTCCCCTTAGTAGCAGTTTAGTTTAGTTAGAATTTGTATTCATCATTATTGTCCCAGACAGGACCTTGATTAGGGACAGGGCATGCCGCACTCCTCTTCAAACCTTGTGTGTCTCGCAGGCATCCTATGTCTACACAATAGCTGCCTGTGGTGTCTTGGTAAGGGACACATTAGTGATAAGTGCCAAATTTGCAGATTATTCAAGCCCCATATCCAAAAAGAAAGCAGCATTTGCTGGCAGGCACTACTCATGGAGTTGGCGCTGTCCCCAACAGGGGAGCAGGTGCCTGCCTTGGCCTCGAGCACTGTGCCCTTGGTACGGAGTGCCCCGCACCTGGTGCTTTCCTCTAGTTGCCACTATTCACCCACGCCAATTCCAGTTAGGAAGGCAAAGGCTTCCACCAAGGGGTGTTCTTCTCCAGCTTGAAAGATGAAGGAGAAGCAAGGAGGAGAGAGCCAGGACCCACAATGGCAGCTTATCACTTCCATTAGGAAGTCAGGCTTCAATTTAGTTCAATTCAGGGCTAAACCTGCCTATCCTGAACTTGTCAGCACCAGGTAGCGATGATGGCCGCTGGCATCTGAAGGCAATTTGGACTCTGGAAGCCCTGCAGGCAGCACAGGACATACTGGCTATGCTAGTACTTGCAGCACATGATGCCTTGGGCACCACGGTCTAAAGGCAAGTCCATGTTGGGCCTCTTGAGGGAATCCCCCCGGCTAGCACTTGCATTGCCTAGAGATCTAGAATGCCAGCGCTCTCCCATATGAAATCACAATACCTCAGACTCAAAGAGACAAGCATCATGAATACCCCTTCAGTCTCCTGATGCGGGACGAAGGCAGGGTCTAGGGCAGAGCTCACCAGCTCGGTGCCAGACCTACTATGGCACGCGCCCCCCATCACAGGAACAGAGAGGTGTAATCAGCATCATCAAGGCCTCAGAGCCTTTCCTTGGATCAGCCTCAGTTGTTGTCTTCTCAGCATCGGTCCCTCTCATGGCAATCCTCATGGTCTTGATGTTCCTTGGACTGCTAGGCTTGTTCCAGCTCTCGTCCTGTTCCAGGTCCCACTGCTAAGGGAAGGATGAGATGCTTCGGGTAACTTGTCTTTTCTTCCCATTAGCCTTCTTCTGTAAGCTAATGGTAATCAGTACATGTTCCCTGCACTGGCTACCTTGTCTTTGGGCTTTTTCCCTTCTTAATTGGGATCCCTTCCAGTAGTGTTGCCTCATAGCACTGACTGCACCCGGAAGACTGCCATCACTTTTCTCCTTCACAATGTAGCCTCTCCTGTTGAGTGATATAACTGCATCTGGATGCTCCTTGCAGAACTATTTGTTAATTAATGTTCACAGAGTTTTAATTAATATTCAGAATTCTGGTAGGTAAACTACATAGTTACAGAAGAATTTGTCATTTTGAAAATATTATATACTGCTATTGAATACCTGTAATATATAGTGCTGGGGTAGATGCAGCTTCCCGATGCAGTAATTTTAGTGTAAGTGCAATATAAAACAAAACAAATAATAAATATAAGGAGAGCATGCTCTATCATCTATGTATTATTTCAGCGGTACTCTACTAGGAAAAACAATAATATTGAATAATCCAACAAATACTTACAGTACCACCACAATCCTAATCCTAGCCCAATACAACGGGAAGAAGCCCCGGGGCAGGGATGCTGGCCTGCGGAGCAAACCTGTCTCTCTCACTCTACAGCAGTAGCCCCAATGCCACTCAGGTTCGACACCCTTAGGTTCATGATTTCTGTAGGTGCAATTGAACCCAAATAAAGCTGCCCCTTGTATTGTGTATATATAGTGAGAATAATGAAACATCTTTTCAGGTACAGCCTCACAGGAAAGACTCTGCATCATCTGTCCTTAATTTATGCGGGTTTGGTTCCATTTTCACAGAAATCAGAAGACTTTGAAGTGAAGGTAATTTTTTAGTAAAGATGTCTCTAAGTCTACTTTTACCTTCACTGTTGTTGTAAAACTACCTCTATGCCATCACTAAAACATCTGATAAAGCATGTACTAAAAAATCAAACTTATGAAACAGTTTTAAATTTAAATTCCTAATTAAAATGAGATGTAGGAGCCTAACCATTATTCAGGCTCAGATTGACTTCTATGGACATTGTATAGGGCTCCTACTAGGAAACAGAAATAGCTTTGCTTTACCACTAGAGGTCATAGTAATGAGGAAAATACCATTTTATCAATACTTTACTATGTACCTGAACCCAGCAAGTGGTGTACTTTCTGCATTTGACTTACAAGTACAAGTTATTGTCACTATTTGTAAAAAGATACTAAAGAAAGCGAATTGTAAAATTGTTAGAGATAAGGAAAAGAAAGGGTTACTGTTCTCGACTGGTATCATATCACCAACAAACTTTATAATTGGGATGGGGGGTATGCTAAGTGTACTAAGAAGAAAATTTATAAAATGTTTTTCTCTATAAAAATCTAAAGGTACCAATATTTGGAGTAGTAGAAATTAAAAAATAGAGAAAAGCTTTTGTGATTCACCAAATTGATGTGTGAGACTAGCCGATACAAATGCATAAAATACGTCACAAAGATAAGGTGATTTACTGTCATATATAGATTAAAATTTGCTACAAAGTTATAGTTGTCAAATTAGCTGTGGGGAAATAACATATCTGAAAGTCAGTCATTGTGCAGTACAGTTCAATATGTGTGTTCATTAATTCACTAGAAAGTTTCTTGGGCATTCAAAATGCTAAATAACCTGAATTCCTGCAACTCATTAAATCTTTACTATAACATACCAAGTTTAGGCTCACAAGAATTACCTGTTTTAAAAGAGAGTACTGTTATAACTAGATACTTGATCATGTCTAAAAGATGTTGTAGTGAAATATATTTTACCTACATAGAGTTTGAATAATCTAGAGTTAGTATATGGGGCTGAAGATGGAGTCTGCAGCCTCTCCATATCACTTGCATGGGGCAGTTTTATGACTATAGGCCTTTGGTTTCAGGTCCATCTCTAAGTTTTCTAGTTACTTGTCTGCTTCAGACCATTGTGAATACAACCTTAAAGTATGTTTATTATTTTAGGTAGTTCTTGCACCAGGAGTTGAAGAGACAGCATTGTTAATTCGTCAGATTTCTGACAACATTTTGATGTCTTCTAAAACAAATCCTCATAAATGGTTGGACAAATCCTGGCTTTCTGTCTTGCCATCTGAGGTGTGTTTCCTTTATACTAAGTGTAGCGGTTCTCTTACTGTTTTTAAGATATTAAAATGCTAAGTTCTCATTATTTCAGTTTTCCAATTTTTTATGTGTGTGTGAAATATAAACACAATGAGCTGGAATCATCCCTACAGACCCAAGTAGGCACATTCCTCAGTTCTTTCTGGAGCAGCTGTGTTGGAAGAGGGATTCATTCTCAGCATCAAGAGGCAGTAGAATATCCCAGGGAGTAAAACAGTCTGATTGTGATACTTCAGTCCTGTGCACCAAATGCTAAAAGCTAAATAAACTGGGCCAGATTACAGAACAATGGCTCAATCCTGCAGGGTGCTGAACATTTTGATTCTAATACAACATAGCAGATAAGCACATGCTTAACTAGAAGTATGTATTTTATCCCATTAAAGTCAATGGGACTAGTCATATTCTTGTAGCACTGAGCCCAAAATAGTTAAAACTTGTTTGTTTCCTTATCAGATAATTGATGTATAGATATTTACATGCTGGATGACCCTGTCTGCATGAGGAAGTGAGATGACAAGATGCAAAGAGAGCTGAGCCTGTGCAGGCAAAGGGCTCCCCTATCATCTGGCTCCTGAGAGGTTGTGTAGTGTGGGAGCATGATGGGCAGGGGAGTTGGGCGATAGTACCCATCTGCTTTCCCTGCCGAGCAGAGCCACCTCCTGACTCAAGCCCTTCAGTGCAGCCCAACCACTTCTGCTGATCTGGGTAATGATAAGATGGGCAGGTAGCAGGATCTGGCAGCTGAAACCTACCAACTGCTGCCTCCAATGAGTACCAGGCACTCCTCACTTCTCTCAATTACCAGAAAATTTTAAACCAAATAAAACCTAAAAATGAAGGGCCTTATGTAAAATACAACATTCAGAGGGTATGTCTAGGCTACAAGCCTCTTTCGAAAGAGAGCATCTAGACTGCAACCACTTCTTTCAAAAAAGCGATCCACTTTTTTGAAAGAAAACACCCAGGCAGTCTGGTTGTTCTCTTTCGAAAAAGCCCTATTTGCATTCAAGAACACCTTTTTTCGAAAGAGCTCTTTTGAAAAAAGGCGTTCTTCCTCATAAAATGAGGTTTACCGTGGTCAAAAAAACCACCGCAGTCTTTTGATTTAATTTTGAAAGAACGTGGTGGCAGTCCTGACTCAGGAATTGTTTTCAGAAAAAGGCCACTTTTTTTCGAAAAAACCCTGTAGTCTAGACATACCCTCAGTTCCCTTGAACTTGAAAAAAAAAACCTCTTCTAACCTGAGAGTAAAATGTGACATTTGGAGTGCAAAGTAAGATTTTTAGCAATGTTTGAGTGTGTGTTGAAAATCCATATGAAATGGATCACTGCAGTCAGCCTTAGGTATACAGCTATTATTTTCATCTTCTTATATACTCTTCCTACTGTACAGCTACGTATAATTAGTTTCCTCATTATAAAGATAATCTATTTATGGATGTCTAGGTGGTGGGTACATTAAAAACTAATTAGATACAAGGTCCACCTTCTTAGAATTGTGATTCTGTGACAGATTGTGTGCCCAGAGATTGTACCGGACTAACACGGCTGCATCTCTATCACTTTGTCCCCCCTAGGCAGAGAAGTGCTTGCTTACTTTTCCATGTATAAACCCTTTAGTAGCTCAGCTTCTGTTAAAAACGGGATCTTCACTGAAGTGGCTGTTGTCGGCAGCTTTTGACCAACTTCAGGAACTCCTACCTGAGGTTCCGGAAAAAGTTTTAAAGGTTGAGTATAATGAATATATATATATATATATTACTAGCAGTCCCGTTGACTATGTAATAAATAAAGCTTTACAGAATGCTTTCTGAGATCATGTTTATATTTCCTAATATAATTTTACAAACTAAGAAAACTACATTATTTTACATTGCTTTGCCAGCTGCATTGGTTCTTATTGCTTTTAGAGTATCTTTATTCATATCTGAATCAGCATATACATTAATTCTTAACCATTATGTTGGATCCACTTTACATCAGTGTTGGAGCCTTCTTCTAACAGTGTTACTTGAGAGGGGCAGTGTAAAGGGTTCTCCCAACCATCAACTTTCTCTGTAGAGCAGGGCTCCTCAACTCGCCCATTTGTTTGCAGCCCGCAGTATGGTTTGGGTTTACGTGTGGCTAACACACAGCCCTCAGGTAGGATCCTTTGAACATCACCTCCACTGGGAACATGCTCCACAGAGGCAAGACAATATAATAGTTTTCTGTTGATATGTGTGTTAGTAGTTAAATTCCTGGACTGCCATTGCTCATTAAAAGTGCTGTCATATGGGTGGAAATCGGATAAATATTGCGTTTTATTAAGATCAGCAGAACTGACTTAAATGGGGCCTGTGTCTTGTGTAGTCTTGCCTTAATCTTTCTATTCATGCCCATCAGAGTGAAATAAGCTATTTATATATATATTTGCATGTATATGCAACCACATTTAAGTTGCGGCCCTCAGCATGTGCTGTATCATTGTGGCCCCTAGGCCTTCCAAAGTTGAGTAGCCCTGCTGTAGAGTATTGAGCACTAGGTGTCTTTTATTACCTAGAGCCTATAATTACTTTAATGTTCATCTTAATTTTGGGGATTTTTACAAAAAATGTTTCCTCACCTTTTTCCTTTTAAATTTTCTTTTCATCTAGTTCTCCCCTGTGCATTAAATCTTCTCAGAGCATGAATTGCTTCATGCCCCTGTTATTGCAGAAAGATCACCAGAGACATGTCAGTTACTGCAACTTTTTCTTTTTGACAGACAGAAAAATATATCTACATCTAAGAAAACTAATTTAACTTTTTAATATTTTGATTATATAGTATTAAACTATACTATAAACATTAAGTCTATTTCTTTTGTTTCAGCATTTTAATGACATCACTTCTTTGTACAACCTAAACTCTTTCACTCCTCCAAAATCGCCCAAGAAAACCGTATCACCCCAAAAACAGTGGAGCTGCTTCAATATGACCTTTCCTCATGCTTCATTTTCCAAATCTCTACTCGGCAATATTCAAGGAAATCTGGATGGTCAGTATTCAGAAATGCTTGATAACCTACAGAATAGCACAAGTCAATCCTTAAATTATTACAAAAATGAATCTTGGTTGCCTTCAAGATCGAGTGAGAGGCAGAAGATGTTAACATCTTCGCTGTCTTACTGTGGACAGGTCAGTTGCTTTGATGAGTCAGATCACAATGTAAATGGTCAGCCGTACCTCCCTTTTCTGAAAAATATGGGAACAGATAGGACAGCCAGTCTCTCATTCTTAAAACAGAGTGATTCAGATGTATTTTCTTTGGAATCAACCAATGTGAATTATGAAGCCAGAATCTCACCATCTAAGACTCTTATGGAGGATTACTATTCAGGTAAGCTTTCTTTTCATGATATGGAGCGGAATAGATTTTATTGATGTGTTCCCTTCTTTGAACTGAAATTTCACTGCAGCTAAAATAAGCACACTTGAAAGTGTGAAAATGGTTTAGTTGAAAGCAAACCAAAATGTATGACATGGACAAGAATGTCAATTTTATGGTTTTTTTCCCATGATTTTCCTACACACGTAAAAATACAATACAGGTGTGCTAAAGAAAAAGTGATTTGATGAAAAACAGCTTAAATTGAGTCTACCTTAGTAACACAGATGTGCTATACAGGCTATTTTTAGACTATACCTGAGGGGAGAAATAGGTACTGTAGCTCAGCTGAAGTAAGGTAAACTCTTGTAAATTGTTAAGATTTACACAAATAAGTGAACAACAACATCTGCTGTATGTAGTTCTATGGAAATCTATCAACACAGAAGATTATATGGATCAGGAGATTGGTAATGGTATAAAGACTTTTGCAGTTCTAAATTGCTCATTGAGAAACACTCCCAGCAGGCCCACTAGCTCCAGAATTCTGATGCTGAGCCTTTTCTGTTCATCATAATCAAAATGGGCTCCCCAAGTCTCTATAATTTTCATCAGTGGTGATGCATAAAGGACTGGTAAGAGGGAGGGAGAGAGAAAAGGCATGGAAGGTTGGGATGACTCACCAGCCAGACAGGGAAGTCCACATGGACAGAGGATGGAAGAAGAGTTCCTCCTGGAAAATCAGGTAATAACTTCTGATTGGAAAAAAGGTGAGGGCATAATTGTAAATAGGCTCATACAGTAGAGAACACATAGGGTACATATTGATTTAGGAGACGAGAATTGGCCTGGCTAGAGTAGGAAGAGAGATAGTCCATTGCAGTTGATATGGGCAAGGAAGGGGCCAGTCTGGGGCTTCTGTGAAAAGCTTGCACTCAAAAGACCTTTGCCTCCTCGTTTTACTAGTAAAGGGAGCCAAAAATTGTCTGCCCTTGTTGTGTCTCTAAAGCAGAATACAAAAAGAAAAGACTATGATAAAAGGAATGATCAATAAGTAATTTTTCCTTATCATCCCAAGTCAATTAAAGAAATGACTGAAAACTTTAAAATACGTTCTTCATTAAAATGTTTTCACACTGGATTACTGGATTACTCTTTAAATTGTTTTATTATCTAGTGTCCAGCAAGGATACAGAGGAGGAGAGCTTAACAATTCCCATCAGTAAAGATGTGTACAAAATCCTTATGAGACGAGAGAGCAGTCTACGTGACCTCATTGAGAAGAAGTTTGGCTGCATGTCTCTCCTTAAGAGTATAAGATGTCCTCTTGAAGTATACAGGAAAAGCCTGAAGGAAGGAATTGAGATATCTGTTTGGATGGATGATATGACAAGACATATGGCTGATGCCTTGGTGATCACAGCCAATGAATATCTGGATCATATTGGAGGCCTGGCTCTTGCCCTGATGAAAGCTGGTGGACCAGAAATTAAGCAAGAGAGCAAGTGTTACATTGAGTGCCATGGACCACTCACCACTGGCCAAATAGCAGTAACAGGTGGAGGCAGGCTTTCGTGTAAGAAAGTTATTCACACAGTAGGTCCAAGATGGGCTGCAAATGAAAGTGAGAGATGTTGTCATATGCTTGAGACAGCCATTATAAATGTCCTGAAATATGTTCGTGCTCCAGAGAATAATATAAAGTCTGTGGCTATCCCTGCAGTGAGTTCAGGAGTTTTTGGCTTCCCACTAGATTTATGTGCTTATGTGATCATACAGACTATAAAGAATTTTGTTGTGCTAGCTCCATTGTTTAGCTGGTTCAAAGAAATCCACTTGGTGAACATTGCTGAGCCCACAGTTGCAGCAATGAAAAAGGCCTGTGAAGAGTTGCTGGGCGGGAGTGACATCAGTTCACTTCGGGAGAGTCCACCAGTTTCAGCAACCTGGCTTTCAGATTCAATCACAAGCCATGGTCTTTCCCTGCATATCATAAGAGGATACATTGAAGATCAACAAGTAAGTCTTCACAGTGGAGCATGAAGGCCTTGATCTTGTAAAGTCCTGAGCATGGAGTTGCCTCCCAGCACCTAAGCAGGATTGGACCCTAAGAGCTTAGAAGTCATGCTATGTTGAGCCAGTAAATATGCATTTTGTTCTCTTGCTCTCAGCCACCCAACATTAGAATCAGTGAACCAGTACTACATATACCCAGGTGTCTTATCTCTCTATATTTTTTTCCTGCAGGACGACAGAGTGACATCATCACATCACTCTGCATCCCTCAGTTGCCCTGCCTCCTCCCTCTCTCCCTCCCCAGTGCTCTGGCAGGATGGGAGCTGTGTGGCCTCTCCTTTTTCCCCTCCTCAGTGCTCCAGGGGGGGCAGAAGCCACATGGCATGCTCCCTTCTCCCTCTCCAGTGCTCCTCATGTGTTAAGAAAACATCTGGACTCCTTACAAAGTTTGTTTGTATAGATGTGGAAATAAAGGGCAGCAGTTATGACCTATGGTCAATGTGGGAGAAATTCTGTTAACTGACTATACAAAGTTATATTCCTTCCAAGCAACTGAATGGGTGCAGCCCAAAACCTTGTATTTTTAATTACTTTTAAACAATCAAGTGAAAGTTTGACTCATTATTTCTGTGCTCAAAATACCATAAGCAAAACTTCTGCATTTCAATTTAGTTCCAAATTACAGCAGCCCTAGGGAATCATATATATATAGTAGCCCAATGTCTGTGACTGTGTAACGCTGAAACACTGGCTGTTGCCTCCCGCCATGGCGCTTGGCTGACTTCTGCGCCACTCAGCCAGGTCGCCGCATGGGAGCAAGCGGCGCAAGCAGCCGTTTGGGGTCCACGCTCCCCATGCAGCCCGGCACAGAAGTCAGCCGAGTGCCACGGTGGGAGGCGAAGGGGGCCGGGGTGGTGACGTACATGCCCAGAGGGCAGGGCCTGGATGAGCGTGCATCCCCAACGGAGACAGAGGAGAGCGGAGAAAGAGAGGGAGGCAGGAGGGGGAGAAGAGAAAGGGAGAGACGGAGAGGCAGAAGGCGAAGGAGAGCTGAGAGGGAGGGGGAGGCAGTAGGAGGAGAAGAGAGAGAGATGGAGCAAGAGATCGGAGGCTCAGGAGAGAAGATTGACGTGGAGGAGAGACCTGAAAATCTCATCTTATGATGGGCTAATTGGCTAGTATGTGAAGGGCAGAAGGAGAAAGCTCAGGGATTTCCATCCTTCCATAGTCCTCCTGAACAGAAAGCAGCTATAATTTTGTAATTCCTCCTAAATATACAAGCTGATGAGGACTATCAGTGTTGGTGGCAGTCCTTACTGCTATTAGGCTACATCTCCATTAGGCACCACTAGCAATGGCATGTGCTATATATATATATATATATATATATATATTATGCCACAATAAAAAGCCTGCTCTATCCATCACTCACTGCAGTGCATGTAGCTACTCATGTCAATGAAAGCAGGGGAAAAGTTTCAGCAGCTAGAAATACCAGTATAGGTGGGGAGACGGTGAGTAGGTGTATAAGAGATGTACTTGTATACATAGACATGTCCTTCAACTATGTTTTTTACTTGCCTAAGCCATGCCTTACCAACTTTACTGCTAGTTGTACCCATCCAGGTGTGGAGGGCACTGTGCTGTTATGTATTCCACATGCTGCCAAAAGAAGCGTACAGTGAAGGTGTACCTTAAAAGGGGGAGTGTCTGGGTGGGTTGGAGTTTTTATAAGGAAAAACTCCACTAGCTACTTGAGGATGTCTGAAGTGGGGATCTGACTGCAGTGCTGGTAAAATACAAATTTAGCTGAAATGATATATACTGAGCTCTTGTGTTCTTTTTTTGTAGACTGAAGTTATTGTTAATTCAGTGGTCATGAATGATGATCCCTCAGGAGGAAATATTTCAAGAGCGCTTCTGGAAAAAGCAGGGCCATCACTTCAGAAGGAATTTCTGTTCGAGTTACAAAAACTTCCTCCCTATTGTGAGAAATTCATATTGACAAAAGGATACAATCTCATGTGCAAGTCAGTGCTACACATAGTATGGGCCTCACAAAACAGCAGTGATTCACACAAGGTGACATTCAGTTAGAGTGAATTTTCACTTCTCTTTTTCAAGTAAAAAAGTAAATTGATGTCTACAAGGTCTCCTTTTATTCTGCAGGTACTAAAAACTGCAATGTCAAGATGTTTGCTTATGATGCAGGAGTATCAACTTCCTTCAATTTCCTTCCCTGCAATTGGGACCAAAGTGCTAAATTTGCCAAATGATGAAGTGGCAGATATTATGATTGATGAAGTTTTAAGCTTTGCAAAGGAACGCCCTTGGAAGAAGACAGATGTGTATTTTGTGATCCATCCAAATGATGGTTATGTCTATAAGGTAAAACATTTAAATAGAAGAACCCATAATAATCATGAAGAAAGTTTCTAAGTAATGTTGCAAGATAACTCACCCAGCAATATCGTCAATCTCTCCAACTACACACTCAGCTCGGCAGAAGAATCTGTTTATCTCGGGGACTCTCTTTTTGCCCCGCCACCCCCACTAACATGATTCAGTTCTGCGGTGATCTGGAAGCCTACTTTCACCGTCTCCGTCTCAAGGAATACTTCCAACACGACACTGAACAGTGCACTGACACACAGATACCTTCCCACCAACAGCACAAGAAGAAGAACTCCACATGGACTCCTCCTGAGGGCCGAAATGGCAGTCTGGACCTCTACATAGAATGCTTCCGCCGACGTGCACAGGCAGAAATTGTGGAAAAACAGCATCGCTTGCCTGGTAACCTCAGTCGTGCAGAACGCAATGCCATCCACAGCCTCCGGAACAACTCTGACATTATAATCAAAGAGGCTGACAAAGGAGGTGCTGTTGTCATCATGAACAGGCCTGACTACCTAAAGGAGGCTGCCAGACAACTCTCCAATACCAAATTCTACAGGCCACTTTCCTCAGATCCCACTAAGGAATATACTAAGAAACTGCACCATCTGCTCAGGACACTCCCCAAACAAACACAGGAACAAATCGACACACCTTTAGAGCCCCGACCAGGGTTGTTCTATCTATTACCCAAGATCCACAAACCTGGAAATCCCAGACGCCCCATCATCTTGGGCATTGGCACTCTTACGGAAGGACTGTCTGGCTATGTGGACTCTCTGCTCAGACCCTATGCCACCAGCACTCCCAGTTACCTTCGTGACACTACGGATTTCCTGAGAAAACTACAATGCATAGGTGATCTTCCAGAAAACACCATCCTAGCCACCATGGATGTAGAGGCTCTCTACACAAACATCCCACATGCAGATGGAGTACAAGCTGTCAGGAACAGTATTCCTGATGATGCCACAGCACAACTGGTGGCTGAACTCTGTGAATTTATCCTCACACACAACTATTTCAGATTTGGTGACAACATATACCTCCAGACCAGTGGCACTGCTATGGGCACCCGCATGGCCCCACAATACGCCAACATTTTTATGGCTGACCTGGAACAACGCTTCCTCAGCTCTCGTCCACTTACACCCCTTCTCTACCTACGCTACATCGATGACATCTTCATCATCTGGACCCATGGGAAGGAGACTCTGGAAGAATTTCACCATGATTTCAACAGCTTCCACCCCACCATCAACCTCAGCATGGACCAATCTACACGGGAGGTCCATTTCCTGGACACCACGATACAAATAAGTGACGGTCATATCAATACCACCCTATACAGAAAACCTACCGACCGCTATACTTACCTGCATGCCTCCAGTTTCCATCCCGGACACACCACACGATCCATTGTTTACAGCCAAGCACTGAGGTACAACCGCATATGCTCCAACCCCTCAGACAGAGACCTACACCTACAAGACCTTCAACAAGCATTCTGTAAACTGCGATACCCACACGAGGAAGTGAGGAGACAGATTGACAGAGCCAGACGTGTACCCAGAAGCCTCCTGCTACGGGACAAGCCCAAGAAAGAAACCAACAGAACACCACTGGCCATCACCTACAGTCCCCAGCTAAAACCTCTCCAACGCATCATTAGTGATCTTCAACCCATCCTGGACAATGATCCCTCGCTTTCACAGGCCTTGGGAGGTAGGCCGGTCCTTGCCCACAGACAACCCGCCAACCTGAAGCATATTCTCACCAGCAACTACACACCGCACCATAATAACTTGAACTCAGGAACCAATCCTTGCAACAAACCTCGGTGCCAACTCTGCCCACATATATACACCAGCAACACCATCACAGGACCTAACCAGATCAGCCATACTGTCACTGGTACATTCTCCTGCACATCCACCAACGTAATATATGCCATCATGTGCCAACAATGCCCCACTGCTATATACATCGGCCAAACAGGACAGTCCCTACGTAAAAGAATCAATGGACACAAATCTGATATTAGGAATGGCAACATACAAAAACCTGTAGGGGAACACTTCAATCTTCCTGGACACACAATTGCAGATCTAAAAGTAGCCATCCTGCAGCAAAAAAACTTCAGGACCAGACTTCAAAGAGAAACTGCTGAGCTACAGTTCATCTTTAAGTTTGACACAATCAACTCTGGATTAAACAAAGACTGTGAATGGCTTGCTAACTACAAAAGCAGCTTCTGCTCTCTTGGAATTCACACCTCCAGATCAGCTGCTAGAAGTGGGCCTCATCCTCCTTGATTGGATCCACCTCGTCATCTCCAGCCTGATCCTGGCCTGCATATTTATTCCTGCTTCTGGAAATTTCCACTACATGCATCTGACGAAGTGGGTCTTTGCCCACGAAAGCTTATGCTCCTACACTTCAGTTAGTCTATAAGGTGCCACAGGACTCCTCGTCGCTGTTGCAAGATAAAGTACTTCATATATCGAACTAGACATTACCTTTGTAAAAATGGATTGCAAGCCTCAGCTACATATGCATGCAAGTCCTGGGAATGGCAGGGAGTATACAATGAAGGTGCTACTCCCACTTAATTGGGACTTTCTACTGAAGTTATGCCCCAGGAAATGCATTCAGCAAATTCTGTCACATCTCCTGTAGCAAAGTATTGTCACAAAGGGCTTGGCATTCCACCATAGAAAAGGCTATAGACACAAGGCCAAATTCACTGCTAATGATTTCAATGGAACCATAGCAGTTTATGCCAGCAGAGAATATGACTTGGGTGATTTATATATGGCTGTTTTAGGTATCCATATATTATAAAAATATAAAGGTTTGATCCTGTTCTCACTGCAACCTAAAACTTCCACTGACTTCAGTACATGAGGGCTGTGTCTACACTGGGCCGCTTTTCCGGAATAACTTGAAAGCTATCTATACTGGCCGCTTGCTTTTCCGGAAAAGCAATGACGATCTACTGTAAAATTGTCAGTGCTTTTCCGGAAAAACTATGCTGCTCCCGTTCGGGCAAAAGTCCTTTTCCGGAAAAACTATTCCGGAAAAGGGCCAGAGTAGACAGCACAGTAGTCTTTTCCGCAAAAAAGCCCTAATCGCGAAAATGACGATCGGGGCTTTTTTCCAGAAAAGCGCGTCTACATGGGCCATGGACGCTTTTCCAGAAAAAGTGCTTTTCCGGAAAAGCATCCTGCCAATGTAGACGCGCTTTTTCCAGAAATACTTATAACGGAAAACTGTTCCGTTTTAAGCCTTTCCAGAAAAGGGTGCCAGTGTAGACGTAGCCGTGGAATATACTGTAGCAAAAGTAACATACAGCACAATAGAGTGTCATCTGGCAAAAAGGTTACAGTATGCTCTTGCTTCTCCTCTGAAAGACAATTGTCCACAAATTCATACTCAGGACCAATTCAGATGTGAAGTGTAATGTAGTATCAGTAACTGAGTGTAAGAGAGTTTGAGTGTAACTTACATGCTGCAAATCTGGAAAAAGGTGTAGCCACTATCTTCTTGTTCCTTCCTGTTGCTTTACCTGATAAACTAGCTCTTCCATGCCACTGATATATAGGTTACATCAGTTTTTACTCCTAGGTTCAAATAAACCAAATAGCACCCACCCATTGCCATGTAACATACATTGTCTTGCATGTAAACTCTGTAGTTTCTGCACATTTTTAAAAGTATTTACAATACGAATGTGCAAGTTTAATTATAGTTTCCTTTTGTTCTTATATGCTGTAAACTGCTATGCAGTTTCTTCATCTTTTTGTCAGTACAATTTAACGTAATATTTTTTTTGTAAAGTAGTATTCATTTGCAATATACTTCTCACGGTATTTACTTAAAGATGATTTTTATCATTTCTCCAGATGCCAGAACTGACAAATTGCATCTGGCTGTCATTTGTCTCTGTGCTTCTTTGGACCACATGCTCACACTCCCCGTTGTTTCACTCATGTGCCAAAGCCTGTACTTCCCCAAAAAACAACTAGAATATTGTATTTCTGCATCTCAGGGAGGTCAGTCTGCAGGACGCCCAAACCCCCTCCACAAAACTGACCAGTGCTCCTCGGTGGCCCCCTACATGAGGCTATGGGAAGAACTTTGAGAGTTAGATAGGAGGGTAGTAATACATCAGTACATAACATGGATTCCTCAGTATAACACCACAAGCAGAAGTGAGCAGTGGATAGCTTCAACTCCTGCTATAATAGCTGCCCTAGCCTGGTTGCATGGGCTCCCCATATACTACCTCCAGGTGGAATTGGAGAGGACGCGATCCATGTCCTTGTACAAAACTCTGGAACCAGGCTTGGCACAGACGACCAGCATTAGCCCCTGTGTGAAAGGAGACTGATTAAAATGTCTCACCCAACAGAAGTCTGGACAGAGATTCTGTTCATTTGTTAATGGTTTGATACATAGCTGGCTGTGAACTTATTCTAAATTTTTATTTTTCAAGGCTTTCCAAAAAAAGTTGAATTCAGCAAAAAGCAAAGTGATAGAAAATATGGAATGCAACAAATGTTATGATTTGGGTAAGTAAGAAGCACAAGGGAGGGTGAGGTTCTGAAAATGATTCTTTCCTAATAAATATCTGTTATATGGAGGGAAACGGTCACAGAGGAGCTCTGCATTTCATTTATTATTCTGTTTCATTGTTTGACTGATTGAGAGTGAGAAACAAGCAAGAGTGGTTTTAGGATAATGGGGAAAATGTGTTACCTCTTCTAAAGTTATGTTTTGCAAAACTTTGTTTTAGTATTATATGTAATTAGACTGTATTTTTACTTTTATCAGATTTTCAATCATGTAAATCAAAATGTAACTGTTGAGCTAACTATTCATCTCTTAAGACACTTTGCATCTTTTGCCCCCTGAAGGACTTATGTCATTCACATTCATGTTATCAGGAGTTACCTGTGAGTGCTGATTGTTGGGGATTGGTAGCTCAAAAGAAGGATTTCTTAAAACTGAATAGAGGAAGAAGCTAATTATGAGAATGCTCAATTATTCTCTCTAATCAATCATCTTCATCCCAGTTCCTTTCATTTAAGGAGCAAATGGGTATGGTAAATTGTTGACACAGAAGGTTCTAGCTGTTTTGCTTTGGTACCTTCATTCCAGCTTATGCAGACAGATATAGCACACGATCAGCACCATCCTTCTGTAGAACACAGTACAGTAAACTTCCGATAATCTGGCACCTCTAGGACCCAAGGGGTGCCGGATTATCAGATTTGCTGGACTATCGGAAGGGGAAACTATGAGGGGTCTGGGGTAGCATCCCCCCTCCACCCCAGACTCCTCATAGCCCCCCCTTCCAATAGTCTGGCTCTGCCCCAGGCGTCCCTGATTCAGCTGCTGCTGGTCAGTTTCAGCAGCGGCTGAATTGGGGATGCCTGCAGCAGAGCAGCTGGAGTGCTGTTGGGTTGGTCCGGTAGCGCCAACCCTTGGCATGGCGAGACCAACCCGGCAGCACCCCAGCTGGGAGCAGAGCAGCTGGGGTGCTGCCGGGTTGGTCCCGCAGCGCCGCTCCTCGGCGCTACTGGGCCAACCCTGCAGCCCTCCAGCTGCTCTGTCCCAGACATCTGGATTCAGCCGCTGATCAGTTTCAGCAGCGGCTGAATGAGGACGCCTGGGGCAGAGCAGTTGGGGGCTGCCAGGTTGGTCCCACAGCGCCGAGGAGCGGCGCTACTGGACCCGAGGCAGAGCTGCTCTGCCCCGGGCTTCCTGGAGTCAGCTGCTGGTCAGTGTCAACAGTGGCTGAATCCAGATACCTGGGACAAAGCAGCTGGGGCGCTGCTGGGTTGGTCTTATAGCGCCAACCCTTTAGGTATTTTGGCTTGAAGAGCTACAAGTCTAGATAGTGGCTGTGAAATTATTTAACCAATCCTCTCCTCAGCATAGTTAATTGTCACTGATCCAGTGAGCAAATATAAACATTAACCAGTTCAAATCAAGAGAAAGACCAACAGAATCCTTTAAGTATAGTGATGCCTGATTCACTGCCTGTAGCACCTCAACTCTGAAGGATGGAAGGTGTCCCCTGCATATTTCTCTTGGTTAGGCTAGTGGAAGCAGACAATCCAGGGCTGAATCATGCACTAATTAATCTGAATGAGATCCATGTGAAAATCATCATCAGTGGTTGATTTGTAGTATGGTTTTGTTCAACCTTTTGGTTAGGGCTGTCACTACTAACTGCAATCAGTATGAGTTGATGGCACAAAATACTTCATGTGATTGGGCCCCAGCACCAAAGGGTAACATTTCACATCCAGGGAAGTGAGGATGATGTCATGTGTAACATTTCTTCCCTCTTTGTAGGCAGGCGAGTTGTATTTGCATTGTGACTCCTGTTCAAATTGTTGTAGGTAGCACTGCAGCCAGCCCATTATCATTTCCATCGGTGGACTTTTTATATGAAGCTGATTTTATTTAAAACATTCTAAGCTAGCCAAAGCAAGTGAGTGAAAAACATTGATTTTAGCACCACTTTACATCCTACCTGAAAAAATCAGGACACACATAGATGGAGCTAAAATGCAAAAAGATATTTCATTTATCCAGTGCCAAACTCGAGCAGGAATTTATTTACTCCTTTGGAAACAGGACAGTGTCTTCTTCATTTTCCCCCTAGAGCTACAATGTATTCTCTTAATACAAAAATGGCCCTAACTAGAAACTTGAATGCAAGATTTATATTTTCAGTATGTGTAAATATTTAATTTAATCATTTCCAGTATCTCCCGAAATAGCAACTTCTGCTTAAACATTAGAGGAATGTGGAAAAACATGAAAATGAAGAAGTTTCTAAATAGTTCACAGAACTACCACCATTTAATTTGACTTCAAACTAAAATGTTGTTTATATATCTGGATTGTAACGGTATCTATTAATGATTACTAAGGCCAAATAGTGGTCCCACTTAATTCAATGAGAGATTTGACATTGACTTTAATCGGATTAGAATTTGGCCCTTCTGGAGACATTTTCAAAGGCCGAATTTAAAGTTAATGGGAGTTACATGCCCAACTGCCATTTGTATCTTTAAAAATCTGTTAGTGTCTGTCAGAATATCCCCATTCTGAACATACCAGAAGGGCAGCATAGTTCCTTGTGCTGCAAAGTCTCAAGCTGCACATCAAGATTTGTGACTGCATTTGTGAACTTTTCAGTTTACTGACAGCACATGTATAAATAATACTTCTTACAGGATCATGCTCCAATAGACGAGCTGAAGCAGAGAATAAAAAAACTGGACCAGCCATTGAACTTATTGGAAACTACCATGAAAAACTAGAAGCAGCAAAACTATGGATCGAAGACATAATGCAAGTCCAGGAAACTCACCTTATCATTATAGAAAACAATCAAATTTTCAACCTTAGCAAAAGAGAGCATGCAGAACTCTCTCATCTGCAGCATTTTGGTGTATCCATATCAGAAGAAGTGGCTGGTGGAAAAGCAAGATTAAAGATTCAAGGTCCTCCTGGTTCCATAATTGATGCAGTGTTTGTGATCGAAAACTTACTATTTCATGCACAAGAAAATAAAACCAAACAAGAGGAGCTGCTGCAGTCAAAGGGTCAGTGAGGTTAAAAGAATAAAAGCAAATAGGATGAATATATATGTATATTATCCATAGTTAGATGAGCCTATATTTCAGTTTTATGTATGAAGAATATACAGGAGGGTCAGATTAATCCATGTGCTTAGATACTATGGTAATGGGCTCTATGCAAAGCCTTTCAAGGATTTGGCTACATCTGTACTACAGTGAAAGTCAACTTAAGCCATGCAACTCCAGCTATGTGAATAACATACCTGGAGTTGATGTATCTTAAGTCAAATTACTATGAGTTCTGCGGGGGGTTGATGGGAGAAACTCTACTGCTTACTTTCTTTGCTCTTCTCATCCAGGGTAGAGTAACAGGGTTGAACAGAGAGCGATATACAGTCAGTTTCGCAGGTCTTCACTAGATCTGCTAAATAAATCACCAGTGGATCCATCTCAGAGTATCAATTGGGGCTGTAATGTAAATGTAGTCTGTTAATTTGTTGACTTCAGTGGTTTCATTGTAGGGATGTTAATTTGCGTGTAATCAGCTAATCAAGTAGTAGATGGAGTTTCATAATGAAGATGATACATTCTGTATCTTTTCTGTTTGACTTTTCATTGGTTCCTTTAGTAGAACTTGATTTAACAAGCAGAATATATCCAGCAAATTAAAATATACAATAAAGTCCTTAGCAAAGTTTAATCTATTAAAAAATGTCTAGATTTGGACATATAGTTATTTTATAGAAAGTATACAAGAGTGTAGAAAGTGTAGTGCAATGTTCATATGCAAAGTTCACTGATCTTAACAGAACCCATTCAACTGAGTTCAGTTACCTTGATTTTTTTAATAATTGAAACCTTAAAATTAAAACTAATTTAGCAGTAAACTCCCTTCTTACCAGCAATAATCAGTTAACCCTTACAGCACAAAAAAAAGAAAGAGTATTACAACCTCATTAAGAAGAACTCCTGTGTCATCAAATGACCCTGTAAAGGGGTAGTCTTGATCAAGATGACCCAGACAACTGGCTTTGGAGAATATCTAGAACTTCTCTCTCTTGAATAAGCAACTAAAAATAATATATTAATTTCCTCCTGCACTGACTTTGCATTTAGTGTGAGTTTTAACAATCTGAAAATCTTAAAATTAGTATTAAATATCCTGTTATTTGTATCCAGGCCAGTTGGAATGTGATTATCCTCCAGAAAGACTCCGAGACAGGACAAGGGATATAAAAATGTATTTCCATATCTCACCAGTAGACTCACCTTGTCAGGAATTCAAAGACAGAGAAAAACAGTTTGAGAAAGCTGGGCTTCATTTTCTCAAGGTAAAGAGTGTGTCCTGGATAAAATGAATCTGAACGAATCTTAAGGTATCAGACATTTACAAGAACCTGGATGGAATTAAGAAGGGAACATTTTCAAATAAGAGCAAGCTCAAAATCAATCGGCTCCTTAGCATATTTGAATGAACTTTAGTGAAATTGCAAATGAATCCTAGATGTATTGCTCAATTAAGATGACTCTTTGTTCAGAAAATACAACTGATCATTCTAAAAAATGCAGTTAAATCCTCATTTACTATTTCAGAAGCTACCATTTGTCTGTTTTATATTTTGCAGCCTGATGTGCTCAGTTATAGATGAATTCTCAGGGATCAAGAAACTGATTCTTGCTCCTGATGTAGTCTGTAGTAGGTTCCAAGTTCTGCTTTAATACATGAATGGAACATAAATATGTACAGAATATCCATAGAGAAATACAAGCCTCTCCAGTAGATACATCCTCTGTGGAAAGGAAGGAGCATTGTCTAATGCAATGATTCTCAAACTGGGGGTCCTGACCAAGAACGGTATTGGAAACCTAGGGTCACAATATTGCTCACCCTTCTGTGCTGCCTTCAGAGCAGAGTGACTGATGAGTGGCAGCTCCTGACCAAGTGCTCAGCTCTGAAGGCAGCATTGCCACTAGTAGCAGTGCAGAAGTAAGTATGACGTGGTATGCGGGAGAGTGAGGTTGCCACGTTTTTTAGCCTAAAATAGAAGATGATCCTAATGGTGCCAAACCAGGGAGGTCCAAGGAGTTTGCCAGACCAGGGGAGGTCAGGCTCCTCTCTGGGTTGCTGGGGGTCCCCGGAGCCTGGGCTGTCCATCCTGGGGTCAGCCTCTTTGGGCTGAGTCTCTCCAGCCTGCACTGGTCCCATTGAATTCCTTCCACTACTGCTGGGGTTCCCACCCACTGCCAGGCATTCCCCTGGCCACCACTGGGGTTCCTGGCCAGCAGTGGCCCCACTGCCACCAGGGTTCCCTGCCGGAGTTACGGATTCCTCTCAGCCGCCATCATGGCTCCCTGTGCTGAGGCTCTCTAGGGCTGGACTCCCCATCCACCACAGGACCAGCTCCTGCTAGCCCAGCCGGGGTTCCCTGGCACGTGCAAGATTCCCCACCTGGCTCGTGCTCCTTGTATCTGGGGCTCTCTGGTCTGGCAACATCCATGGTCCGGAAGGACGATGGATGTTGCCAGAGTAGAGAGTCCCGGATTTGAGAGTTTCAACCTGTATTTTCAAAGGGGGCCCCAGCACAAAAAGAGTTTGAGAACTCCTGCATCAAGTTAAGAACGATGTACAAAGGCCACTTCTCATGCTGCATTATAACTTTATTAGGCTTCCAAACATGCATGGGATCTTTTCTCTAGAAAATATTTCTTTGCAACCTTTAACGACTTTCCATTCCAGAAAAGCTCTAAGCATTTTCAAGAAGAAATTGGAGGCTTGGCATATAGCTGTCCAGAAGATCAGGATGAGAAGACACTTTGGAGTGAATATCCATCCAGACATGCATTGGATTCCTTTGCACCTGACATCAGACTTTGTGATTCATTTGCGAATCCTGATGAATACAGTAGTCTAAATTTTCACCAAATAGCTGGAGAGTTTTCAAGAAAGAGAATGCCTGGTGCATCATCATCAAATGTAATAGAAAAAGAGGTTTTAACAGGTATGGGAAAATCAGACAAGTGCTGAGATTAATTTGTAATTAAACTACAAATCAGAGTATCTGAAAGACCACATCATAGATTTTTCTTTAAAATAGTTTTCAAATCAGCAGATTAGTTGTGCTTTCATTTTAATTAGATGATTTGTAGTAAATTCTTAAACTATTACATATTTGTATTTTTAACGCAAGCAGAAGTTCCTAACATTTTAAATGTGTTTTTATATGTGAACATGCAGCTTGATGTGTGCAAATGAGACCATTGTATGCTTAAATATGGATACACACATGCATGTAACTCTTTATTACCCCTTAATTTTTGAAAATTTAGTCCTGCCTACATTCCTAATACATTCAGAGGCAAAGAGAAGTCCCACAGCATACATACATTTAATAACTATTTACAGTTATTTTATATTTTGATCTCTTCATTGTACAGCGAAACTGATGAGATACCTAAGTAATTACACCAAGATCATCTGAAAACTTATTGCTACCTTGTCTCATGGGCTGCTTAAGGCAAGCTGGCAGTGAACAGGGGAAAAGTTGTATAAATACAGTATATACTGTTTTTATTTCTCAACCTTTGGAAATTAAAGAGGCTATAAGGAAGTTGTAAACGAGGGGTGGGGAACCTAAGGCCCAGGGGCATGATGCGGCCCCTGGCTTGCCTAGATCCAGTCCCCGAGGCTTGGGGCTTCCTCCCAGCATGGGGAAGCTCATGCTGGTGCTCCAGCCCCTGCATCATCCCCCTGCAGAGCTGGAGCAAACAATCTACTAGCCTGAGCCTCCAAAGGCTCTGGTGTGTGTGGAGAATGTGGGGAGTGTTTTTCTCCTTCTCCTTGGAGACCATGTCACAATGGGGTTTTGGTGTTTTTCTGCTTCTCACTTGTGTGCGCAGCCCCCCAGCTGATTTTTCTGTGGGTCAGCGACCCCCCCCCAAGACACAAAAAAGGGTCCCCACCCGTGTTGCAAACAAACCTGCTTCTATGCTTCTTTCCCTGGGATACATCTGAGGGGCACCTTGATGGTTAGTTGTACTTCAGTAACTGTAAAGGAAATTGGCTAGCAGGAAGAGAAAGTTTAAACTCCAGTAAACAAATTCTATAGGAACCAATGACCTGCTGCCATGCATTCCACTGTCCTGAAAAATACTGTGATCTCCACTGGAACAGGTTTCTGTAATACCAAGAACTGTCATCAGAATTCCTATTAAAATGATAAAGCTACATTAAAGCAAGAGGAGAAGATGAGCAGTGGTTTTGTCTTGGCTCTTGGCAGAAAACATTTTTATTTCACTATTCATGAGCTAAAATAAAACAAAGACCTGCTCATTCACAAGGCATTTGTGCATGTTCATGAAGCATAGCTCCATTAAAGAAAAGTTTCATGCAACTTCCATGTTTCAGACGCATCTACAAAGTCAAAATAGACCTTGAAAAAATCCGTGTGTGAAGATAAAGTTTTGTTAAATCTAAAAACACTTAGGATCAGTAAACCAAGTTAGTTTTTTCTTCTGGCACAAATATTCCTTTTTTTCCAGATTATGTATTGCTAGGGACAAATAGAATCCTGTATGTGAGATTTATACAAGATTTTGCTTTTAAGTGTGGACACTTAATTTACTTGAGAATATTAACAGCATGTCCCTGATGAAAAAATTCTAATTACATGTTTATTGGAGACTACCCAATGTATTACTCATATAATTATAAAGAAAAATTAAAAGCATGCCCAAGTGTTGCATTCCTTGTATATCAGATAGATTTTGTAAATTAATTCCCAGCTTAAAGTCACAAGATGTTTGTGCAGATACTTCTATTAGTGGAATTTATTCTAAAAATAGTAATCAGTACAAATCTCAGTCTAGTACAATCTTGCCATTCTTTTGTACAATAGCATGCTTTGAAAAGCTACAGCCTGTTAGTAGTAGTGAGAAAAGTATTGCCAAAACTGCACAACTATGGGATTGTTTTGTAGTTAATCATGCCTTTCTTTTTCCCTTTCCTCCCTCCTTCTTTAATAGGTTTAGGCTTTGCAAAAGTACCAGAACTCAAAAAAAGGCGACTAACATTTGAAAAAGCTCCTGGAAGAAGTGATGGGCAAACTCGTCTTAAATTCTTTTGAATTAAATGGTCAGTCTTACAATGGATGTTTTAAAATGTGTGAAATATTTCAAAGGAGCCATTTTAAATTTTATAATTATTTTTGACCCAATTCCCAGGTCATTTTCTTATATTGAGAAGTTATTAGGTTAAGAAAGTTTTTGCACGTTTATTAAATTCTATTGTTTGATTGATTGTATATTTTACCAAACAAGTTATCTACTTAAAGTGGAGAATTTCTAGGAAAGATGTCTCTTCTTAATTTACATCTAAGAAAATAAAAACATTTTCACTTTTCATATACTGCTTATATATAATTTGTTTCATGGCTCATGAATTAATTTAAAAGTGCTATATTGTTCTTTACATGCCCAAAAAGGCAAATAAGCACAAGGATGCTCTATATTTCAACTCCTGGAGTTCCTTGATCATTTCTGAGGGGCATGGGGGATCCTAGATTTGTGCATGAGATTAAGGTGCTGGGCTTCTGAAGGAGAAGGAAAAAAGATGCAGAGGCAATAAGCCTAACTTCAGTACCAAACAAATTAGTTGATGCTATGGTAAAGAACAGAATTT